TCATTGGACTTTGGTGGCACGACCCGATCCAAATGGTCCAGCCTTTGGCTAACTGTTTGAAAAGTATTATTGAACCTCTCCAGGTAACTCATTACAGTTAGGTCGAGCTGTGAGCTTGAAGGAATATCCGCCATGATACTTTGTTGGACTGGCGGCACTTCGGGAGAAGTGTCATCCTGTACCTGGGTGATTTCCTAATTGTCAAAGTTGGTTCGCTCAGTTTCGAAACCGCGAGCCATTTGCTGATGGGTAGGATCAATTAGTCAGAGGTTTTTGATGAAAAGCAGATACTAAATCAGGCACTCCTTCTAGCGTCAAACTGTTGATGCTTGATTTTGACACCAATGACTCACATGTGCAAAATGCTAAGCGGATTTAGAAGTTACACGTGATATGGAAATGTGTAGCAAAAGAGAGTAAATAAAAGACGGTTTTTAAAGTAGTTCGAATGCTCAAAAGTGATTCCTACGTCCACTGTGATTGTATTAATAGATGGTTACAATCAGGTCGCATGTAGCGAGCTGAGTTACAATCGAGAGAGAGAGAGAGAGAGAGAGAGAGAGAGAGAGAGAGAGAGAGAGAGAGAGAGAGAGAGAGAAAGAGAGAGAAAGAGAAAGAGTGTGTGTATGCTGTTTTAGACTAAGATAAGACAATCCCGTAAATGAGAGAGGAGCCCTCTATTTATAGTGGGAGGATTCAAGGTAATAATCATGAGCCTACAGTCCGGCAAGTGGGGTACAATTCCTAACCCGTTTCTTATTGGTTGTCTGCACGAGAGATATCCTTAAATTGCGGAGGGCTTGGGCAGGTGGACGATTCCTAGCCACTCGCAAGCCTAACATTCATCTGCTATACTGACGAGAACCATACCTCTTCTGTCATTGTGCGACGTGGCAACGTCTAGACTGCACAAATCCTCCCTGAAATTTTGATTGGCTCTTGCTGACGAGAGTCTGCGTCAGCCCTGACTTTTTAGGCATAAAAGATAACATTAAAATTTAAACTTTTTGGTATGATTCTACTAATTTTCCGACCATGACTAAGCACCATTGCTGTTATTTTACCAAGATTATGCGACAAATAAAAAATTTTATTTGAAGAAGCTTAAGCTCCGGTTGATTTCAACTTTGATTGTTACCTACTATAGTTAAATAAGATAAATGATGATTTTATGAAATCGAGGAGAGAAAATTGACTATTAGATTAAAGTATAGAAATTAAGAAAAACCCCGAGATAATGAAGATGTTCCAGGGCCTGCCAGATCATAATATATAAATAATAATAATAATAAAATGACAAACCTACACCAACGAGTCGATAAGCGACAAGCAGCAAACCAAAGCAAATATACGAATTAGATCTCCTGGGAAGTCACCCTGATCATTATAAAACAAAGCAAATTATGTTCATAGGAACATACAGGAAACTGAAAACTAAAATGAGTTCTCCACATATTCTGGCTATTCCTTTTCCTGCACAAGGTCATGTAATTCCTTTACTGGAGCTTTCGTTATGCTTAGTTAAGCATGGCTTCAGAGTCACGTTTGTCAACACAGATCATACTCACAACCGGGTCATCAACGCATTATCGGAAAATTCTATAGGGGATGGAATCCGTCTGGTGTCGATTCCTGATGGAATGGAACCCGGGGAGGATAGAAATGATTTAGGGAAGCTATGTGCAGCAATGCCGAAGGTGATGCCGGGGAAGCTGGAGGAGCTTATTGAAGAGATCTACAGAGTGGAAGAAGATAAGCTTGTTTGTGTGATTGCTGATGGGAATATTGGATTTGCTCTTGAAGTTGCAGAGAAGATGAAAATTAAAAAGGCTGCCTTTTGGCCTGCAGCAGTCGCTACTCTGGCCTTCTTTTACAATATTCCAAAGATGATTGATGATGGAATCATTGACAGCAATGGTAACACGCTCTCACTTGTTTTTACTCTTTTCTATCTTCCTCTGTAAACTTTCTGCAAGTTAAAAGTCACTGAATCACTGTCTTTGTTGTGTACAATTTGTTTCCAGGGACTCCGTTCAAGAAACAAATGATTCAGTTTGCACCCAACACGCCTGAAATCGACAGTACAAACTTTATTTGGGCAAACATTGGTGGCAGCTTAGCCCAAAAGATACTCTTTGACTATATAAGCAAGAACACAGAAGCTGTGAAAGTGGCAGATACCCTTATTGGCAACTCAACCTATGACTTTGAACCTGGAGCGTTCAACTCGGTTCCAAATATGCTTCCAATAGGACCTCTTTTGGCGAGCAACCGACAAGGAAATTCAACAGGATACTTCTGGCAAGAAGACTCAGCATGCTTGGAATGGCTTGATCAACAACAGCCTAACTCAGTCACTTATGTTGCATTTGGCAGCTTCACAGTTATAGACAAGATCCAATTCCAGGAGCTGGCACTAGGACTTGAACTCACCAACAAGCCATTCTTGTGGGTTGTTAGGCCAGACATTACTGATGGTGCCAATGAAGCCTTCCCAGATGGGTTTCAAGAAAGGGTAGCCAACCGTGGGAAAATGGTGGGTTGGGCTCCGCAACAGAAGGTTTTGTGTCACCCTTCCATTGCCTGCTTCTTTAGCCATTGCGGTTGGAATTCAACCATGGAAGGTTTAAGCAATGGGCTTCCTTTCTTATGTTGGCCATACTTTGCTGACCAGTTCATCGATGAGAGCTACATTTGTGATGTTTGGAAGGTGGGATTGAGATTTGAAAGAGACGAAAGTGGAATCATTACACGAGAAGAAATTAAAAGTAAGATGGATCAAGTGGTTGGTGCTGAAAATTTTAAAGGAAGAGCTTTGGCACTCAAGGAAACTGCCATAAAAACTGTTAAAGAAGGTGGTCAATCGAACAAGTGTTTCAACAATTTCATTGAATGGATGAAGCCATAGGAACTCACCACAAGTGATGATGGATCATTGTTAAGGAAAATAAAACATGTACTAACAACTTAGAAATCTCTGCCATCGAAACCAGGGTTTTAATTTCATCGTGTATTTCTCTTTTATCTTATATTCGAAGAATCGAAGTCATTGTTTTTTAATTTGTATTAGTCTTTTGCATTGCGAGGAATAAGCTCATGTAATACAGTAGTTGGTCTGTACCCTTGGGTCACCCTGTGGCTCTTATCGCTGTTGATGTCTCTCCCTCTGAATTGCGTCAATCGTTCGTCTTGCATCTCTGTCATTAGGAGTAGGGAAAAAGCCCGGCCCAGAGTTGGCCTAGCTTGGGGTTATGTCCAGATCGGACCTCAGTTAGAGTTCTAGATCCAAAGTAGGTGGCCCAGCCTGGAATTTTGCCATCTCTATCTATCATGAAGAGTGTACTAATCGCTCTAATAATACAATTAAATGAGTAAAGTATCGTTTTAAATTATTTGAAAACAATGAAAATTGAAATATTGTAAATTCTATGAATTAAAAGGTAAAATTAACTAAAGAATGCAATAAACAAGATCAAATCACCAATGAATATAAATGCTATTGCTAAGGCATTTGACTTCACCTAACCAATTCAATCTAAATCCTAAAAACATGTTACTAAACATTTATCATCTAATGTTGACGGCAAAGTACTCTAACCTATTCAAAACCCTCTCTCGAGTAGAATCAAAATTACTCACATATAATAACCCACAGTATCCCTATGTGAATTTAAAAACATATGAGCATATTAAGTTTTATAGTATTTCAATAAAAACCACACAAATCACTTTGATTTTACTTCTATATTAGTGGATATCTTTAATATTACTTACTTGGTTGGCAAGTATTATTAAATAGGAAATTTATTATTTTGCCTTTGGAAAATTTCAGGTACTACACCATGTAAACAACTAAACAAAAAGCTATTGGCGCAAAATGGTAGATGCAAATAATATAAATTTTAAAAAAAAAAAATTAAAGATATAAAGCTGAGCGTATGAAATGGTATTGATCGAACCTGTATATGTTTTCTCTTATAGATAGACTGGGTTCTTTGTTAAATGAATGACACTTTAACTATCACAACACAAAATACTCTTCTCATAATTCATACTCAAATCTTCTAGGAATATTGGTAAACATATCAGCTTCTTACTAATTTTTGTCACAGTAAAATGCTCAATTTCTTAATTCTGACCCAATTCTTCCGGCATGATTATTACTAATTTAACATGCAGAAATTAGTAAAAAAAAAATCTTAAATTAAAAAAAAAAAGTTTAAATGGAAAAATAATGCTTAAATAAAATAAATTAAGTGATTTTCAGGCCTGAAGCAACCCGTTGTCGTCATGGGCTATCAGCTCATATATGTCCAATCCAACCACTAAGACTAAATAAAATAAAGTATTTTTCTTACTAGTAATATCTAAAGAAATTCTAATTAACTTGTTTAAAAACCTAGGGTTCAAATCTAGCAGGTCAAAACGTCACTAGGAGAAAGAGCACAAACATAATTTAAACACTAGATTTCAAGAGACATCACAAAATACTCTAAAATCTTGGATTTAATTTAATCTATATTAATTTTTGCTTGATGATTCATTTAACTGAGCATGAATTAGGAAAAATGCTAAGAATTACATTCACAAATAAATATATTGCGATTATGCATGCATTTTATACTCTTTTAAGATTTTTACCGATCAATATAATTGTTTTAGAAAAATAGTTTTCACTCACAATTTTAAAGCTCAACCTAAAGTGGTATTGAAATTCTCTGATGGTCTTTCCACTTCTTCTCGTGTTTACCCAAAAATCAAAAAATATATAATTAGATTCCTTAATATAAATAGTCGAAGAAAATGAATTAAGTAAAATCTTAATGTTAACTGTTGTCTGTTACCGAAACGTGAGAAAAGGAAATATAATCCTTTGACTCCTCTCGGCCACTTTTTCTTTTCTTCCCTCTTTCTCCTCTCTTATCTCCTTTCCTCTCTTGAGTCTTGGCTCACACTTGACTCAGAGATTTTCATAATTAAGAACAAAATAGAAAATAAAAATGAGTCGTCCACATATTCTTGCTATACCATACCCTGCACAAGGCCATGTAATTCCTTTACTGGAGCTTTCCCAATGGTTAGTTAAACATGGCTTCAGAGTCACATTTGTCAACAAAGATCATACTCACAACCGAGTCATCAACGCTTTACAAGAAAATTTTACTGGGGATGAAATCCATCTGGTATCAATTCCGGATGGAATGGAACCGTCGGAAGATAGAAATGATTTCGCGAGGTTATCTGAAACAATGCCGAAGGTGATGCCTGGAGAACTGGAGAAGCTCATAGAAGAGATCAACAGAGTGGAAGAAGAAAAGATAGTTTGTGTGATTGCGGATGGTAACGTTGAATTTGCCATTAGAGTTGCAGAGAAGATGAAAATTAAGAAGGCAGCATTTTGGTCTTTAGCAGCTGCAAGTCTGGCCTTGCTTTACAATGTTCCGAAGATGATTGATGAAGGAATCATTGACAGTGATGGTAACGCACTCTCACTCATTTCTGTTCTTAATTTTGTTGCAAGTTTAAGGAACTTAATGACACACAAATTAACGAATACCATTAGTATTATATTACTGGTTAACGCCTGAAAACGGTAACTTGATCCCATGGTGCTTGGCTCTTTTCCCCACAACATTACTAATATTATATTTTGCTCTAAAAGGGATCCAACTTACAACCTCCGTTAAGAAAACCAGAGCTTAAAATAATTAATAAACTGAAGAAGAGAATTAAATCTTTAGATTTATTCACTGTGTTCTATTATAAGGTAGGCCAAGCATGCAGTTATCTATTTCTTTTATGTTCACTTTCTGTTAATTCCAGGAACTCCAATCAAGAAACAAATGATTCAGCTCGCTCACAATATGCCTGAAATCGACAGTACAAACTTTCTTTGGGCCAACTTGGGTGGCGGCTTAGCTTTCCAGAAGAAAATCTTTCACCGCATAGAGAAGATCACAGAAGCTGTGAAAGTGGCAGACTGCCTCATTTGCAACTCAACATCAGATTTTGAACCTGAAGCGTTCAACTTGGCTCCAAATATTCTTCCAATAGGACCTCTTTTGGCAAGCAACCGACAAGGAAATTCAGCAGGATACTTCTGGCAAGAAGACTCAACTTGCTTGAAATGGCTAGACAACAGCAGCCTAACTCAGTCATTTATGGCATTTGGCGCTTCACAGTTATAGACAAGATCCAATTCCAGAGCTGGCCCTAGGACTTGAACTCACCAACAGGCCGTTCTTATGGGTGTGAGGCCAAATATTATGATGATGCAAACGAAGCCTCCCAGAAGGGTTTCAAGACAGGGTAGCCAATCGTGGCAAAATGGTGGGTTGGGCGCCACAACAGAAGGTTTTGAGTCACCTTCCATTGCCTGTTTTTTAGCCATGTGGTTGGAATTCCACCATGGAAGGTGTAAGCAATGGGGTTCCTTTCTTGTGCTGGCCATACTTCGGTGACCAATTCATTGATGAGAGCTACATTTGTGATATTGGAAGGTGGGATTAAAGTTTACCAGGAACGAAAGTGGTAGCATTACACGAGAAGAAATTAAGACTAAGGTGGATCAAGTGGTTGGTGTTGAGATTTTAAAGCAAGAGCTTTGGAACTCAAGGAAACTGCTATGAAAGTGTCAAAGACGGCGGCCATTCTGACAAGACTTTCAAGAAGTTCATTGAATGGATAAGGTCACCGGAACCAGGCCATGCTTGTTAGAATTAATATTTCAAGATTAATTCGTTATGACTTTGCTTTTCCAAAATAATCTGTATGATGTTGGTAATTCTATTTTCAACTTCTGTTTTTTGCTCTCAATTCCTTTTCTTGATCTGGGAACTGGAAGAATACTGCGACGACAAAATTACAGCCAAACCACCCGTCAAACAGGTCACTAACCCATTTTAGGTTTCAGAATAATTGATTCATCAGTCAGCTGCAAGAGAAAAGAGCAAATTAAACATTGGCCCACCCCACTTAGATGAAATTCTTGAATAAAAGTTTTTGTAAGTTGAACGGCTGAATCTGAAGAGAGGAACAAGTTCAACAGATATAAATAAGCAATCATATGCGCTGGTAATTCCTTATGCACACAGGGTTGAACGAAATGGAGAGTCATATGAGAATAAAATAAACCGGAAAACAAATCATAGACAGTAAAGAGAGAAAATAATACGTACGATTTATCCTGATTCACTCAATATAGGCTACGTTTAGCTAAGTCAATATTATTATAATACTTCCTCACCTCTCTCGTTTACAATGAATGAATTGTCTTATAATTACAATTATACTCATAACAAGTGAAAAATATATTTATATATTACACCTAGTTTTATAAGGATTATTATTCCTAAGTCTAAACTCAATAATGATTAGTAACTTAAAGAAATCCTTAAGTGATTTTTCATGGAAAATGCCCAAATCACCTACGGGCCCAACGGCGCTACAGCACTATCCCCACGACCCTCGAATGCATCTGCTTTATCCATTAATACTGAAGTAGTCGACAACTCTAACAAGAGATATCTATCATGTACTAAAGTTTTCACAATGCTTAGCTAAGGATATATGGCTTCAAAGTCACATTTGTTAAAAGTGAGTGCAAACGCAGACGAATCATGAACACATTAACCGTTCCTGAAATTTTTAACATAAAGAACAAAGAATGAAGCTCACGACCACACAGCGTGGCATACCTAAAATATATTATAATTTGAAGCAATGTGACCCTTTAACCAACCAAGACGCTATCCTTCTCCTAAATCTCAACACAAAATATTTGTAAATATTTAAACCAAATAAATTTTTATTTTAGTAATCAGACAAAAGACACACTTTAAGAAGCCTTGAGTTCCTGACCTGCCCAGAAATTGTTCGTCCATACTATTTATTGAAACTCTGTTTTGTTTTGTTCTGTTTAAAATTTTGGTAAACTTCTCAATGAGAGACAAAGTAGTACTGGAAGCTCATAATGAACATCATTAGGTGCAAAAGATGACAGCGAAAACATCAATTAATTAAACTAGTTATTAACATGATATATACAAAGCCATTGTTTGTATTGTTCAGAAAACATACAAAACAGAAAACTAAAATGAATCGTCCAAATGTTCTGATCATACCTTTTCCAGCACAAGGCCATGTAATTCCTCTACTGGAGCTTTCACAATGCTTAGTTAAGCATGGCTTCAAAGTCACATTTGTTAACACAGATTGTAATCACAAGCGAGTCATCAACGCATTACAAGAAAATAACTCCATTGAGGATGGATTCTGTTGATGCATGATTTTTACACCAACGAAACGCACATGTGAAATGCTGAGCTGGCTCAGAAGACACACGTGAATGCAAGGAAAAGAGAATAAATACAATGAGAAAAACGTTTTTAAAGTGGTTCGGATGCTAAGGAAGCAAGTCCTACGTCCACTGTTATTTTATTAATGATAAGGGTCAAGTCGCATTAGCGGACTAACTTACAAATGATAGTACAAGCGAGTGAATGCTTTTTATTATAGAGAGAATAGCCAATCAAGAGTAAAATGAGTGAATCCCTTGAATGAGAGATGAGCTCTCAATTTATAGTGAGATACATGGAGGCAATGATTACTGAATCTGTGAGTTGGTGGGATTATCCGTGCAAATCTTTACTTATGTCACATTGCCCACCTTCTAGAGTGATTTGCACGATTTGGAGCAGGGATTGGACACGTGGAATCACCACAGCTTCTGGCTGGTCTGGTGCGCACCTACTATTCTGACAGAAGCAAGCTACGGGTGTACCCATGTTCTGACTTTTGCACGCTGACTGGGCCTTACGTCAGCCCTATATTTTTCAGGCATAACAGAAGTCCCCTAGTTTTTAAGGTTTGAGAATCGAACCTTGGAAACTATTAAGTCATGCCGCAATTGATGATTTCTGGAAATTCTGGTGATTCCGACCTGATTGAAGATAGGTCGGGGTAGCACTTTTTGCAAACACGACCTCGCATGGTCATTGCTTATTAAAGACGGGCGAGCGACCTGACTTCGCCAGGCGTTGCCTGTTGTACTTTAGGTATGGATGCATTTAATGAAGCAGTCTCTGCACTGACAGATGTCCTGTGCGCGATAAGTGTCAGCCAGGTACATTGAATGCGTTATATGCTCACACGGTACCACTTTATCAGAACATTACATGTGTGACATGCTGAAACGACAACCCTTATGAGTGCATTAAATGCAGCTTGGGGCGCAATTAATGCTGAAGGAAAGAGAGTGCCGTCGCTTGAGTTTTTCAAAAAAAAAAACGATGACGGTTTGATTTTCTGTAATCGTGACGCTCACTCTTCCTCAATGATCTGCAACACATGGCCGTGATCAACGGTGAGAAATTTTTGCCGCCCAAATTTTGTTTTGATTCCGAAAAAAACAAACGTCGGTTCATGCGCTATAAAAACTCAAATCTTTCTCAGACAATGTCATCACACTCGTCCTTTTCACAGAGAGCAAGAGATTTTCGCAAGCTTGGAACCTTTGCCTTCCAAACCAGCGTTTTTTCGATATTTGAAGCAGAAGCCATCTTCGTACTCAGAGAGGTAAGAATCTTTCTTTGTTTTTGTTTTCTTATTCCCGTGGTTGGTAGATGGCGTTAGTCTTCCGGTAACTCATCGGGGACGAGACGCTCATGTCAAGTTCGAGCCATGAATGGCGGCTCGAATCATTCTGCTAGGGTTTTCTCTAGGTTTTAGGGAGTTTTTCCTTCCATGTCATTGTACGGAGTAGTGTACGATGGCTAAATAACCCCCCTGCTTGTCGCTTTTGCAGACCAGTAGAATGGACCCCTCAACGACTAGATCCGAGGAAGGAACCGGTTCTCTTCGTAGGGTGCTCCGAGTGTCACTCCTGAGGTCTACTCGATACTTATCGGGGAAGAGCTCGAGAGGGTAATAAAACAGTACAGTATCGAGGTGGAAGTTTTCCGTGATGTGGCACACTCATCGCGATACCCATCAAGTGGGATGGCCGCGATCTCTGAGGAGATCATCAAGGGTGGGGGATTGATCTCCTTCCACCCTTTTGTCAGGTCGATCTTGGATCACTTCGGGATAGCGCCAATGCAGCTCACTTCGAACGCGTATGTTATTGTTGTTGCCATGTACATCGCGTGTCATGACAACAAGCCAGGTGAGCTAACCGTGACAGAGCTCGGCTGCTTGTATTTCTTGAAAAAGAGCAAGGATAAGGATTCTTATTACTTGTCCAGACGACCTACTATAGCCGAGGGGATACATAGCTGCCCTAGCAACGCGGGGGCGTACGAAAAGAAGTTTTTCTTCTTTCATTACGACAGCTATTGCCGCTTTCAGGACCCGAGTAGACTCTTTTCCCTTGGCGAACTTATTAAATTCGGAATGCATTTTTCTTTCTAACGACCTGTTTCTTCTCTAGCAGTTAACAAGACGACCGACCTAGGACTGCTTTTTGATCAGGATATGATCGTATCTTTCGGCTTCCTGCCCGAAGACAAGCGCGACGCGAAGAAGCTCATGACGACCGCGAATCTGCGGAAATACGGTTTCTTCAACGCAAACGCGTCTTTAGAGCCCCCATTTAGTAAGTCTTGCTAACTGGTTCTTTTCTGGTCATGAAATGAAATGCTTTTGTTCACGATACCTGTATGCAGCGACCATGCCTCCAAAGGTGTCAGAGCCGACGCGACGAAGGCAATTCAATTTCCCACAGTTGAAAACCGCCAAGGCGAAAGATGGGGCTCATGCCGATCCCCCGGCTGAAGGTGCCACATAGGGCCCCCATAGGGCCCCCCGGTACGACCTGCTGGAACTCAGCAACAACCTTCGGAGGATACACCAATCCGATTCACGAAGGCCCTTCAGCAATTGGTTGTTCGCTCGAGGCTAAAGACAACAGCTCAGCGAGCAAAGAAGAGAAGGCAGATTCAGGTCGAAGAGTCAGAGACCGAATCTGAGGTCAATCAACTCGAGAAGTCGTGGTCGGACGTCTGGAGGAGGTCAGGTAAGGAACCGATGGGCGACACGAACCCTACTGAAGGCGTGAAGAAGGAAACTCCAGTGCTGGACTCGCTGGGGAACCTGTCGGAGTACCTGCAGCCGATAATCTGCACTTTACTAGAGTGCGAACTCTTGGAATCATTTGAGCAGTTCGCAGGTTCCAACGACGTGGATCTAA